TCGTCTCAAAACAAGATAACAATTCTTGTAATAAAAAGATTCTACGTCTGACATAAAGCGGCAATATATGTGTATTAAATCTCTCAGATTGGGAATTAGCCGCTTGACCGGAAAGGAAAGACAAAAAATCTGTGAGATAAAACGGAAAGGCATTTGGCGTATGGAGGTTGTTTAAGTCGTTAACAATGATGCGCGCCAATTTCAATGACTTTTTCGGATCACAATAAAGAGAGCAATTTTGCATAAAGTTAATTTTGCTAAAAAGATTTAGCAGATACTTGCGATCCATCCGAAGTTTCGATCCGCACAAAGTTTTCCCTCGATGTAACATAGCTAGAAGTGCGCCAGCCCTGAACATTTCTTACAAAAACTATAGAAGTGATCGTATTGTTCCACTTCTCGTGCTTTTTTGTTTCTCGCATCGAAATGTTCCCTTCTTAGACAAAACATAAAAGAGAAGACAAACTTTCTTATTTCTTGGGGGTAGCAACTAAAGCTGTTTAAATAGAAATAATTACTAACAATCCTCTCACGAGTATTAATTGCTACCTCTCGTTTCAAGTTGATATTTGCTGCTGAAAATTTTCCGAAAAAATTGCGTGCTTCTTCTCGATCATCCCATCGACTTTTAATGTTGTTTTATATAAAAAAAGATCAGCATCTGCGAAGTTAAGTGTCAGCTCCGGCATTGTGTCTCGTCGTCTACCACTAAATGTACACAGTTTACCCCCAAAAGAGCTCTTCTAATTTAATATTGAGTTGGATAATTTGCATTACTGTATACTCTCGTCTAGGCCTGATCAAAATTGATAGTTTTACAGGGCATTCTGTGGGTTGACCAAATGATAACGCAACGTGATTTTTTTTTAACTTAAACTTCATTCTGTTTCGCCACATTTTCTTAAATCGTCCTTATCCCCAAGTCGCATAAACAGATATTCTTCCGATCACGAGATCTTCCAAATTTAAACTGAATAGCGGCTTTTTATCAGAGGAAAATGCATTTTTCAAACCAACCCCTCGACCTAAAATACACTTTGTCCACATCATTTGGTGATAGTTTGAAGACTTTACTTTCGGCTGCTTTCTACAAAAATTTGGCGCCGTTTTGGCGACCAAAGGGGAGTGAACAGAATTTTTTAACGTCTTTTTAGCGTCTGAAACTTAATGTTTAAAAACCACACGCACACGAAAGTCCATAATTTACATGTCTTACACCGAGAAAAACCTATCGTGTTGTCTTGCAAGGCGGTGGTAAAATTTCCCAAGTAGACAGTCCAAGCGTTTCCTGTCGCATAGGAGGAGACGAATTCGTTAACACCTTGAAAATTCCAAACACTTAAAAAAGGTCGATTCGACTCTCAGGTAGATTCAAAAAATTTTCAATAGCAGGTTTTATTACCGCTGTGAATCCAATACTGCCGTGCTTTACCGAGGGGTAATTACAGGGTAAGTTGAGTTTATCTAAAGCTGAAGCAGCCAAAGCTTGTCGGATTGTTTAATCCCATTCATAAAGACATTCAGTTAAGCCTCGGGACACAAAGATGTTTATCAAATTTATTAATTCACCTCGGGCCAAACGATTTATGGCTTCCAATTCCTGGTGTGATTTCCATCATCGATTCTTAATCATCGATTCTTGGTTATTGCCAGAAAAATTAATCATCGACAAAATGTACTCTGTGAGAATATTTCCCTCATGTTTGAGGCTACTGGTTCGTCTTTACAGCGAAAAGAGAAGTTATTCATTGAAATTATTACTTCCAAGTCTTTTAAAAGACATGACTAGAACAAACTTGAATATTATAAGTCGGCAAATAGGCAAAAAACGCAGGCAGTAAATGATTGCTGTATAGCCCAGGATACCGAAACTTCATTAGCCACGTAGTAAGAGATTTTGGCACTAAAAAAATCCAAATCATGGAAATTATAGTCAAGTAACGATTAAAGAAAATTAGAAGGTATTTCCAAAACAAGGTCGATCTGGGCATGTACTACGTTATTCTTGTCTACTATCGAAGACAAACTGCAAATTGAAGGAGACGGACTAATTCAAGTTTTTATTGAATACGTTTCCAAAAAGATGATACTATACTTATTACTCTGGCGTGAGTTTCAAGATATCTTAAACTAACGGACATCACTGAGAGAAATTTACGTTAAAAACCTTACGAGAAATTTAATGACGAGTACAAGATTTGCAAACCTGGGCTGTTACTTGCGTTAGATTTAAAATTTCCATCCAGATTCTTTTGAGGCAAAGAAAATTACGTTTTAGAGAGAAAATCGGAACTATTTCGAGATGAAGATTGAGACTTACTACTCATAGTTCTCCGCTTCCTGCGTATTTTGCGTATTTTCCTGCGTATTTTGCTTCACCCTTGGAACTACACAAAAGAAACTAGTAAGTACAATTGACGAGACGTCAATAAGGAAAAAAATGAAATGGTAGACCACGTGCGTCAGCCAAGGACAGCGGGTATCTCGCTGAGTTGCATACAAGCGGGTTGATTAACTCAATGATACCACCCGTGTTAAAATCCACTTAAGACTGACAAGATGTCCTTTGAAGCTAATGGAAACGGAATAATTGAATCGGATCCGAAAGAAACAAACCACTCACAAATATAAAACTGCGATGATCTTGTAAGAGAGTTTTAAATAGTTAGATGGCATTCATTACAAAAGTATCAAGTCGAGATAGCAAAAAGTTGAAAGTTTGTAGTCCAAGGAATTTAAGTCTCCAGGCACGAGTTCTATACTTCCTTTAAAAAAATACAGCTTGCATTGTAACACGGAGTTTTTTTCAGCCACGATAGGATCATCCCAGTACACTGAGGAGCACGAATCTCCACTAATCGTGAATCTAATTTAGTTCAAGTTTTACGGTGGTTCATGGCAGGCGTAAGAAATTAAGTTGCATCTGCATGTTAAAAAATTGAACCATTAATATTACGGAAAAACCTCACTGATGAATTAATTATTTTATAATTGGACTTTTAAGCCCTAGGCACGCTCTTATCTAACGGTATCCCCATCCCCGCAAATAATGTCATCCGAGTCAAAGGGTTGTGTCTTTAGCCTGCTGACTTATTTCAGTAAGTCTATCAAGGAAGAACAGAAACATTTTGTGTCATACCGTAAGCTTATAAAAACAAACGACCTAAAACCTTCAGGCGATGAGCCACAACAATGCAGGGCTCTATTTCATTAATTTGAATTTATCCTTCTAAGTGTGCATCTTAATAAAAAACTCAATGAATGAAATTCTGAATCGTACAGTGGTTGCTCTAGAAACTGTTTCTACTCGTGAAAATAAGTATCACAAGCTTAAAAGAGGCAGATTTTGGAAATTGTTATCGCGTGAGGCGGCCAATGATACATCTTCTGTAACAATCTATCATTACGTACTAAGGGGCTGCAATATAGCCATCTATCTTTTATGTACACCAACAATTAAAAAAAAAATCAATACGAAGTCCAGAAGCATTTTTAGAAATACTAACTTAAACATAGGTATATAGTCATATGGTGGTAAAACAAAGCGGTGACATTTCCGGACAACAGCGAGGTTTTCTGCTACCACGTTTAGAAAACGCCTCAGGCAATCGGTTTTAGCCACGCTGAACGATTTGCGCCTGAAGCAGTGAGCTGTTTACAGACTTTGCAGATTGAATACGACTAAACCTTCAAAATGTAACAATTTTGGTTTTTATTCCACCTCTCATAGTACTTGTACAAAGGGTTAATCCGACACTTCTTTAGGACAATACTTTGGTGACAATAACTTCAGCTTCCGTGGAAACTGTAAACCTATGTACGAGTCAGCTTGTTCATTTGAAATCTTTCCAATACATAACTGAGCGAAGGTGATCTGAGCGAAAGTGATCCCTCAAAATATAAGCCACGGAAAATTGAATTAGCGTTGATCACACAACGATGAAATTCGTCGATTTTGCGATTTTCGTGATTGTTAATCTTGAGTAAGGATTCACCAGCTCAAATGAAGAAAGTGTCATTTAGCTCACGGAACAGGGAAACGTAGTATTCGGGCCTAGTTAAAAGGTTGCTTGTGGCATTTGTCATGCTAATGGTTGTCATAGACATTTCATTTCTGGGTACTTAACAAGAGCAGAGGCGAATTAGTACCCCAGTGTTATTATAACGGGTGACCAAGCCACTTTAGAGTTGAAAATAATTGTCCATCTCAATATCAAGTCGCACCTGCCTTGCGTATTCATAAACAAGTAAAATTGTCTCAAAATAGATTACAAACGTTATTTCTTTTTGAAAGGAAAAATCCAGTAAATTCAGAAAAAGTAAGAAAAATAGCCGTTGCGTTAAAGTCAAATGCTAAATTAACAAAACGACGCAAAAAAACCACACTTTTTTCTGAGTAATGTCAAATGAGAAGGACGGTTGACAACTACTCCGCAAATTTTTAACTTATGCTAAAAACAAAGGCTTCAAATGGCGCCAAAACGCCCTCAGAATGGCTAGAAGTGCAATCCAATTATAATTTTAGTGAAATTAAAGACAATAATTTGTTTTGTTTTCGTAGCAGATGTTTTTACTTCAAATGTGACAATTTTATTATTTTAACAGAAGCCCCTAAAAACTCCTATCATGTTTAACAAGTTAACAGAGGAACAACGAATAAACCTTTCTGTTGAAAGGGCTACAAATCTATTAACGATTCTTTAAGTAAACTTTTATACCTGTGACAAAAGAGGCTGCTTATTGAATTAAAATAAGTTTTCGTAAGCTGCCATCGTTTCTTCCTCTTCGGGGTATTCTCACACCAGGTGTACGGGAAGTTACAAGTACTATTTTTCGTTCTCGGATGACATTTGAAGTTTGCTACGGAAAATTCGGGTAACAATATATCTCAAAGGTACCGTGCCTTTGAGTTTGTTGAATTTGAATTTGACAGATGGTAAATTGAAAAGCTTTTAACATATCGCAAGCTTCACGTAATTCTATACTTATCCACCAGTACAGTCTAATGGAAGAAGCCCCTCCCTCGAAATATTTGGCCGTTGAATCGGTAACTACATTATATACAACAAAGAAAAGTCCTGTTATCCAGTTGTTCAGATCGCACTTTACTTCCTCGAGGTCCGTGACGGTATCTTTGCCGCGTGGTAGGCGCTCTTGATTTCTTTGGCGCCAAAAACAGTTCAAGTACATCGGCGGGTCTAAGGTATGACACAGATTTCCTCCAATTACCAATTATTTGTCAAATTTACCTACAAGACGTGCAAACCTAATCTAAAGTCGTATGCTAAGTCTGGCAAATTATCCAGGCCATTTCGTACAGTTTTGTTCAATTTCAGTGATTTTGAATTTAATCTGATTTCAATAATACACTGGATCATTTCTAGCAGATTACGAAATAAGAAATCATCTCGTCTATTTTACCCAAAGTGGTTTATACACTCGTTCAAAACAGAGGTTTTCGATTCCCCTCGATCGTCTTGTACCAAAATGAAATTCGACATGCAAAGAGACCTTATTGTAACATTATGTACGCTGTTAAAATCCACTTCGCATTGCTACATTCAGTTAACAAATGACAACATATTGGGGTTTAAGAGTTCCTGTTTACTTTCTGATGTAAAACATAATTTACTGTAAATTTCACTTAAACGAATTTTTGAAAGTCAAGTCGATTGAAAACAATGCTATATGTTGCAACTTCATTTCCCCTTATGTGCTCCAAACACTTCAAAAACAGATTTTAGCTTTGCAGCATTTCTAAACCAATACAGTATCGAGTTAGTTTATTGCCCAAGCAAATTGCGTTTTCGACTTATAATTCGGCTTCTTTACAAAAAAAAAAAAACATTTTTTTCTTGGTTAATATTTTAACACTCTCTTGTAAATTACTCAGCTCTCCTCGCGAAATATAATCAACGCTTTGCACAAGTATGAAGTGCTGCAGATTTTGTGGCGCCTGGCGTTTTCTGCTCATGTATTTTAATATGGTAAAGTGTGCGACGGTCTGTCGCTTTTTCCACATAACCTAGAGGTTTATTCTCTCTTTAGGTTCATCCTTATAACTATCCTTTCAGCAACTTTTAGTCCAACTGTTAATGGTTGTGTCTGTGAATTGAAATTTAGTGGAGAAAATAGATTCCGAGAAAATATCTGTTTGGCAACAACAACAAACACAAACATAACGAACTGTTCTACTTAAAAAATCCGGATACCCCCAAAACAACATTTTAAAGACAAAAAAGTTGATTATTTCAATCAACGGACTGTAATGACCAACTCATAACTCTGTTTCAAGATTTGAAATCATTTTATTCAGGTCCAAGTTCCAAAAACACTGATTAAAGTGAAATTTAATTTTTGTTTCCCAGCAATAGGATTATATGTTGTTTTAGCAACTTAAAAAAATGTTTCAATTAATTATATGTGCAAACAAGTAAACGCCCCAAGGACCTCAAATTTTCACTTGTTCTCCTTGTCAACTTTATTGCGTCCACTCCCAAAAAATTACATGGAGTAAAGACGATACAGGTACGGCTATTCAAGAAAGAGAAGTATAAAATTTGGTATACTGCGTCATAAACATGTGCAGTAATCACCATGAGTAAAAATGTCGAATTTGTTCTACACTCTCCTACCTTTATTAGGATTCTACTGCCTTCTCCACATTTATATCTTAATGCTTTCTGATGTGACATAGGATGAGATTTTGTTTTATCAAAAACGAACCCTTTCGAAACTATATACCAATCCTAAGTTCCACTAAGAAAGAAGATAATCTTAGGGGCAGAACTTACCGAAAACTTAGAACAAAACAAGAAAACGGAAATAAAAGGAAGTAAAGTGACAAAAAGGAAGACAGCCCATCGATATTCTGTACAGAATTTCTTAGCTAGCTAGAAAGTTCTCTAAAATTATAAATTCCTCTATGAATGGGCTGGTTGTGCCTTATATGTACAATAAAGATAACATTTTATTTGCCATTAAGTTTGTTTATTAAACTCTTAGTAGACTGATTGTCTATTCGTTATTCGATCATGTAAGAAAAAAACTAAAAACTTGAGATAAAATGAAACAAGAAAGCAAAATGGAAAACAACAAAGTCGTTTGAGTCATCCCTTTTCGATAAGTCGTGTATAATATTTAGAAGAAATATCAGTTTGGTTTAACTTTTATAGCTGAAGCCCGTATTTTAACTTATCAAGTTGTAATATGTATGATATCTTTGTGTTATCTTTTAGACGACTTAATTAACAATACGAGCCTTCCTCAGCTAATTCATTGATCTCGCCGCAGTTCATTTAAAGAGTCTGACAGTCTTTTATTTTCATTGCTTATTTTCAAGGCTGTTCCAAACAATACTTCTTGATTTGATTTGCAAAACAGCGGTCTTATGTTTTTAGGTATACAAACTCAAGACAAAATTTTTTAGCCATAAACAAGCCATGAAAGGGAGGAATAATTCATGGAGAGCTTTTTATTGGTCACAATTAATAACGGGCTTTTGTTTCATTTTTCAATTAATTTTCACATTTTAGCACTCTATTAAAGGTTTTTTTTCACACTTCAGGACAGGTTCCATATAAAAAAATATGTTCAGCAAGTCTTAACAAACATTGTTTTGATCCCGTATCTACTCTCGAAACTTTCCCCTAACCAAGGGTCAATACTGTGAATAAGTAGGTATGCCTGTGTCATTTACTGATAAACATCACCGTTCACTTAAAATCACGAGGCTTAATATAAAATCTACCATCTTCTTTTAAATCATCACAGTAAAGTGAATAATTGTTTCTTAATCCAATTTTGGATACGACGTTAAGCAATCATAACAGTGCTTCACATTTAAAGAGGTATAATTCAAAATCTGCTCACGCAGACTACAAGTTATGCCATTTCCCTGTAGTGGGACATAACAGAGGAGGGTAGAATGTTCTTCTTAAATTCCCTCCTTATCTTGTTTTATAAATAAGAATTATGAGTGAGACGAAAGAGGAGCCTGAAAACCAAGAGGAGGAAGAGACCAGCACTTCATCTACTCTACATCACAGAGTTCCAAAATGTGCTCGCTGTCGCACGCATGGCACAGTTTCTTGGCTCAAGGGTCATAAACATTATTGCCGCTGGAGGGACTGCACGTGTGCAAAGTGCCAACTGATTACTGAGAGACAGCGAGTGACAGCCGCACGGGTTGCGTTACTGAGACAGCAGAGAAAAGGAGCTGAGTTGAGGGCAAAATACCAAAGAGAACTGGAAAACGCCCGGCTGACGTACTCCATGGTGTTCCAAACCAATGGATTAGCAGGTTAGGCCATTTCCATGCTGGAAGGCATTTCCCTTCCCTTTCTTCTTCTATTCTCTCTTTTTTCCTAGTTTGCTCCTTCACAACTTTCACATTTTTTAACTTCTATCCTTCTTTTACTTTTATTTTAGGTGCTTGACCTCTTGTAAATTTTTCCATTACCCTTTTTCAATTTGTCATAATCTTTATTATGGTAGGCCTGAATTTGCCTTTGAGAACACTTTCGATCGATTTCCAGGATTCCCAAGTAGCCATCGACACCATTTTTATCACCATCCACCTCAAGCAGAGATGAGTCATCTGGAACCAAGGATAACAGAAATTAGAGCGCAATCAGGTAGGCCATTTCAGTGTTTATTTGGATTGTCGCGATTTTTTGTCTGGGAAAATCTCGACACTATTGCCGAATCCTAAAAAGTTAGAGGAAGTGAGAAACATGTTAAGCTCTTTTACACGGGACTAATTAGGGACCTTAAGAAACCACGACGGCGACGCCAAGGAAGACTTCGATTAAAAAATGAGTTTCTACTCTTAGTTAGAATTTCAAAATTGGCTGCAGGAGCTTACTGTCTCATACTGCGCCACGGCTCAACTTCAGCATGACGTATAAAGTAGCCGTTGAGTTCCAAATGGAAGTTAAAATAATGTGCCGTCGCGGTTTCGGTTCGCAGACGACGCAAATTTTGGCGATTTCACGTTGCTGTTTTGCATAGGACGGCTAAGAAATGTACAAAGTTTCAAAACGCACGTGCTGAGCTATTGTTCAGCCAATTAGATCTCTTGTTTTTCCACGTCCTCGTTGCCGTCGCCGTCGTGGTTTCTTAAGGTCCCTATTTTTTAGAGGGAACATGCGACTGTTAATACATCTGGTCTTTGCCACGGGATACAAGTTTCCATCGTATCACACTTAAGGCAAATGACTCCTTATTCTCTGAGAGAATATTGACCGGCAATAGAGCATTTTGATTGGTTGATTTTAGTTATTGGCCCTCTGACTGCCCGAGTCGTGTAATAAGTCTGGTCTTTGTCACGGGATACAAGTTTCCATGGTATCACGCTTAAGGCAAATGATTCCTTATTCTCTGAACTCTAATGAATTTTCGTGATGTTTTGGAAATTTTCGATTTATTAACATGATTGAATAAAAACAAAACAGACGTATTTTTTCGTTCTTTTCCCCTCAAGTTTCAAAAGCTCTTTAGCGAGTTTCTTTTCATCCCACAACAGTTTTATGTTAATATGTTAAAAGAGACCAAATGCAGACTGTATACCGAAAGTAGAAGCTACGCACTCTCTAAGAATGAATTATAATTTTGTTTCAAGTTACAGAACCTCTGAAGCGGCGCAATTCAGTCTCGGAGGACGAGGAAGAAGAAAGAACCAGCCCTAAAAGAATCGCTCTCTCCCCAGACCTGGAGGTCAAACCAGAACCTCGCGAGCATACTGAAAAAGATGGCCACACCAGCTCCCCCGTGGAAAGAAAAACTTCTGATCATTTGGTTGACCAAAACATAAATTCAAGCAACAAATACCTACTGGAAAACTTTCATGAAAGGCCTCACGATTTGAGATATCCAAGGATTTCAAAAGAGCTAAGCATGCTGTCTCTAAGGCACCCACCGATGGAATTACTTGGCAAACTGTTCCCTCATCATAACAAGGGCACACTAGAACTCATCCTTCAGAGTTGCCATGGCAGCGTGGTGGAAAGCATTGAGCTGTTGTTGTCCTCTCAAGAATCAAGAGGCAATAATATGTCAACGTTAGCTGGATGCGGCCTTCCTACAGCCAATCACACTCCTCCCTTCTTGCATGGTCCAATGACTCGAAACGTCATAACGAGACCGTTGCCCAGCACGCACGCGTGTTCGCCATCAAGAATTTACCCACCATCACCACTTCCGCCGCCGTTGCTCGTGAAACCTAAACCGGAAATGGCGATCAAGTTTTCTCCTATGCCGCACAACCCTTATGGTGGCGATTCTAGGCTAGGAGAAAGGGCCTGCGGGCTTCCCTTAAGCCGTTTTTGTAGCAGGTGCGGTCACAAAATAAACATGTTTGACAAGTTTTGTGCCCACTGTGGAAAGGTTCTCAATGAGACAACTGGTCTTTGAATATAGAGGCCACCCAGCCAGACTGTGCACGTAGCATTTTTTATAAAATAGAGACAGAATTAAAATAAGATTTAAAATAATAAAAAATAATTGATTTAGCATGTGTTCTAAGCAGAAGAAAGGAACTTCGATAGCGCTTTCGTAGAATTTCTTATAAAGCCTAACGTAATCAGAAGAGAATACAATTATGTACCGCCTCATGATTTGTTGTTTTTGAGTGAAACGCAGTTCAGTTGTAAAGAACAGCAACAGCAAGGAGGCTACTAAAAAATATAGTACGTTATCAAAAGTTAAAGAAAATGTAGTAAAATCGAAACTGCAATTCCAAAGCTTTTCATGTTGGTCTGCGTTTTACTATAGGTTCCCGCCATAGCTATTTTTCAACAGTTGTTTATAGCAAATTCCTGTTTTCCGTTAGTCTTGAGAACAACAGTACTTTTACCTCAGATTCTTTTTCTTCAAACTTGCATTGACTGAAAGGATAGATGAGAACTATAGCTTTGATAGCCGCTATCTTTTACAAATTCTGGGAGGGTTGCAAGGGTTAACTGATGGCCCACTGATTTACGCAACTTTGTATTTCTTACAAAGTCATAGTCACTATGTAAATGGGTAACTTAGGTCTGGCGTTTACATGATTAGCAGTGTTTAATTAGAAGGTAGAATGAATTAATAAGGTAACGAAAAGTTTCTACCTTTTTTTTTTAACTAAGTTTACCTTAATGTGAAGGAATTCTGTGCCTTGAATTCCTCGCCTCGAGAAATCATTAGAGAAGTTGGAGAAACAGTCAGGAAATAGAAAGACGTAAGCGATGATTTCAATAACACTGTCAGCTTCTGTCAAAAACAACTAATATATAGAGTGATTCTTTTGTTTTTGTTCTTCTCCTTAACATGATTTCTTCTTCAGTATTTCTCATCCTATTCTAGCATTATTAGTATCCAGATATGTGAAGGAGCAAACTTCCTAATGAGAACATATTTCTAACAAAGATTACCGTAGATATCTAGAATGAAAGGAAAATTGAAAGAGAAAAAACATGATAGATAGCATAGAAGACATAATAAAATGATGGTAATATGTAGTTGTCGCATGTTAAAATTTTATTGATTAATAAAATAAATGTAGTATCAAAATAAGTGCATACGTTTCATTTGGTGTCTGAAATTTTCTTTAAAATGAGTTCTTCACTTTTTCTGCTTTCCTACATAATATTATTCACCACAAAATAAAGTGCGATGGTCAATATTCTGTATTAAATCCGAGCGTCCTGATTGGTTCTGATTTGCTGGGTATTTTGCTACACAGACCGTTTACACAGAAACGGTTATATGTTAATTGTGTGTTTTGGTCGCGAAAACCGGCAAATACAAGATGAACAAGTTGGTTTCAGTACCAGAGAGTACTGTGCAAAAGTAATGCAAACGATTATCGCGATCATCGCCAGATATCAGCGATATCAAGATTACAAGCGAACTAAACATGAAGTGGGGTAAGTTTTTAAACAAACAGTGGTGCCGCGTCGAGGGGAGGGGTAACAGGGTAATTTGGTTGTATCAGCTGAGTTGATGATGCAAATTGGCCACCGTAAAGGGTTTAAAAGCTAATTTTTTGAGCGTCAGCTCTTCATTAAAGTTGATTCGCTTTGACGAAGGGCTAACGCTCGAAACGTCAGCTTTTATACCCTTTACGGTGGCCAATTTACATTATCAACTCACGTATGATGCAACTCAGTTGATAAAGCCAAATAATCGTGAAGCCGTGATTATTTTATTTATATTAGTACTGAGATATACAAATGTTTTTAACCTTAAAATACATATGCTTAAAAAGACGAAGCTGTACTTTTGAAATATTTCATTCTAAGGAACAAGATTACAAAGCCCGTTCAAAGAAATTTAGGCTCACGTTTGACAATTGAAGAGTTTATGAAAAATATTAGGTCACATAAGCTATCAAACTAACAAAGCGTTTTTCTTCTCTGAATTGGAGTCCAGTTCTTTCAGTCTTTTTTACCTCTTTGTGGACTTTTTCTCAGTTTCTGGAGTAGCCAAAGTCGGTGATTGATTAAGGCTGATAGAGATGTTTAATTGACCGCCACGAATAACAGAAGCATTGAGCAACATTGCTTGCTAGCCATGTTGATAGTCTGCGCGCGAACTAGCTGAATGAACTGTGGCCGAAGATCATTCAGAAAGTTTAGTTTTCTTTCTTTTACATGTATTTTCGTTTTCTTGGTCCTGATAATTTGTTAAACTGAGTTAATGCCTGAAAACCTTGAAGCCATGATTCTGAGCAAGCAGGTAGCTTTGTAAACTTTCACTCTCAGTAACATGGCCGCCCCGAGAAAAACCGATACGATTTTCACACTTGTGAAAAAAAATTTGTATCAGGCCTCTTATTTATATTTTTCACTAATTAGAAAAAAAGCTTGACCAATGGGATTGCTTCTCATCAAAGAGAGACGATTTTTATTCGGTGAGTTTGCACTCAGTAAATCTCAGTACTTATACGATATTAATAGAGTGGTTACTATCCTCACTTGCTCGAGTTGTAGCGAGGAATACTTGCTCTCGATCGTTTTTGCACGGACGCGGATCTTGCTGCGCTCGATCCTTGCCGCCACGAACTCGGGTCAATATTCTCCAGCCCTTGCGCTAGCTCGGTTAGTGGGAAGTTTTAACCCTAGATGATTTATGCTTAAGAGTACTTTTCATTAAAATATCACAGGTCGAGAATTTATGTATATCGGATTGTGAAGATGAAGGTTATGAAATACGCAATAGAACTGCTGCCTGACAGTCTCATTTCCTCCCCAGAGAACACGGCAGTTGAGAACTAGGTCGCATAATTATATTTTACCTAAGGTTCAGACAAACCATTTGAAATCAGTTTTTATTAATAGATGTCTTTTCAATAGTAATTAATGCATTTTCCTTTTCGTTATTCATTCTATTCATGTTTTAACAACAATTAAAATTGTTGCACGTCTGTTTGCACAATAATTCTTAATAAAGACCTTTATTATTATTATTATTATTATTATTATTATTATTATTATTATTATGCTGTGGCCATCTCTTTTAGAATAATTCTCATGAAAATATGACTCAGTGAACGATCACACACTCGTTCAAGTATACAATGCACATGACGGCGAACAATGAACACAACGGTCGACGCTATTTATAGCCCAGATACGCTATTCAAGGCAGTTAATATGGTAGGAGGAAAAGCGAGACGAAAACAAGACCGGAAAAAAGGTCCTCCCATCATACTGCTAGGTTTTTCATTTAACAAACTTTGAAAGCCTTAAGCTTAAATGAGGTGATAATCAAGTGCAAATTTCGAATTCGAATTAGTAAATGCGTTGTCGATGCAACAACTTAATCGCTAAGTTTTGACATAAAGTGTAATTTACATGTACAAATATGGTGAGCTACGTTAACGATCTTCATGAATTTAGAATTTTTCCTCTGAGCTAATTTAAGGTATTTAATCTTAGACGGCTTTGAAAATGTTTGGCGCAGTATTTATTCGAAGCCTAATAGGATTGAAATGATGCTTTACTTTAGCAAAAACGCATAACAATGACCTAATTTATCTTACAGCATCTAGAGTAATTTGTATAAATTTAGCAGCTCTAATAAGCTTCTTTTTCCAGCATTTGCATTAAACGCAAACCTTTGTATGAACATCTGTCCAGAATACTTCTTACAGAAAACTTGAAATAAAAGGCTCCCCTGAAAATCACTAAATCACTCGAATCGCCAAAGGCAAAGACTGCTCCGCTACGTAAATACAATGGAAAAACTTGGGACAGAAAATGTGAATATAATTGAGAAAAGGCTTACGTTTTGGCGACATGTAACCATAGACATTGAAGGTAAATTAACCAAAGGTTATCAGTGTTATGCTAAAACTGAAAAAACTAAGGGGCGACTTGAAACAAAGAAGGAACTAGGACAGATGAAGATAGAGATAATTATAGGGCATTATATAAAAGACAAACTTGAAGAATTTCGGACCAAGTTGAGAGCGTATGAGCCGGGCCTTCTACAAATGCGAAACATTCTGACATCATGCCAGTAAATTCACGTTTTTAATTTGTTAAGATTATTTTGTGACTGAAATGGGATAATTTCGTGCAAATTTCCTTTACATACTTTTGATGAGCCCATTCTTAGATCGCCGAGCTCATTGTTTTAGCTAAGAAGATTTTTTCTAATCAAGGATCCGAAGAGAGGTAAGCTCACCCGCGATTAAAGCATGTTTAGGAATTTTCGCCAATCCGGCTTACACTGAAAGAATTTTCTCCATTATCAAGTTTACTTTCAAACGTTAGTAAAAATTATGTTTCATCCAGCATACCAACTCGTACCTCGTTTAAGGTAGCTCATTTCTTAATAGAGAGGGAAAGACATTAGGTTCCTCTTTTCCCGGATTGGCGCATGTTTGCGAACATTTTCCCGTTTTTTGTTTTGTTTTGTTATTGTTTTCTTTGTTTGCTTGCTTGTCTAGTTGCTACATTTAATTTACTTCCAAAATTTTTCACCCAGATCATACTCAACTTTTCATCATTTTTCTGCATAGGTGGTTTATCTAAAATCCTGGTCGGTTCGCTTGGTTCCAATAATACCCTTCACATATTGTTTCCTCTCTCTTTCCGCCCTTTATTGCGCAGGCGCAGTTGTGTTAATGGAGTCTGCTAATAGTCATTTTCAGGTTGGAAGAAATACACGTGATGACAAAGCATTTCCTACTCTTCATCCATTTAAATAATTGCATGTTCTTGGTTGGCGTCTTAAAAATATCCATGACCTCTACCATGCTGTATTAAATATGTCACACGTGACATAGCGTGAGCCAGACATGCATATATATAAAGGGCAGTGTTTAAGTACTTGACGACTTGACGTTTAGATTTGACCACGAGTGGTATTCTTAAAGTGAAAATCATTTAAAGGAGCAGAAATGAGTATCTTAGTCACAGCGTTACGATCAGGGAATTTGGAAGTTGTGAAAGAGAAATTCTCACGACCGGTAAGTAAATTGACTTGTTTTAATTTGGATTTTCTTTCTCATGAAGAGGTTTGACTCTTTATCTTTGGAACACGATTTGAAGAGCCGAAATAACAGAGATAAAAGCTGTAACTGTTGATAATCTGCAAGTTTGAAGGTTATCGAACTGCCTATGTCTCGCTGAGGACAAAGTTTGCAAATTATGATTTCCTAGTTAATTGAACCTTTTTGGAGACTTTACACCAAGTAACTGGTATGTCAATCGTATCAGAAGGCGTCGAAGGCGTTGTTGTTAATCTGTAACTACCCACCTACGGGATTTAGAATATCTTATTGCTGGCCATGATAGTCAGTCTTGCCTCTTTCTTTTTTCAGGGGAGTCAGGTAAACACGCCAATTCAACATGGACGCAGTCCTCTTCATATTGCCGTTCAAGCTCAAAAGCTGGACGTCATGAAGTACCTAGTATCGAAAGGAGCGGATGTTAATGTAAGTTATTTACTCGAGTTTACTTGCAAAGCTTCAAATATACTGAGTTAACATAATGGCAACCACTTCAAATGCTGTCTACCATGACACGTTTTGTTGCGCAATTGAATTGATGAATGAACGGAATCATTTATGATAACTGAACGATTCACATTTCTCAGAAATCATAGCAATACCCTGGATTAAAAGAAAACATCCCAGTAACGACAAAAACAACACTGTTATTGATCTTCAAGGGTACCCCAGCCACGAATTTGACAGCTTAACGTCTTTGGATAATTTGCATTTTATTCAACGAAAGACCTATCGACCTTTGAAATGAAGCCACGATTGTTTTAATTTAAATACAAACCTATTAGCACTAACTACCAACCCAAGCTAACTTTAAAAGGGAAAAAAATGATCATATCAGTGATTGATTTAAACGATTGCCTGGAGAAGATAAAGTCAAATGTCATCGTGTGAATGGACTAAAATAAAAGTTTTCTTTCATTCAGTGACGTCATATTATAATTCAAGTAAAGCTCCTTGTCTATTGACATACTTAATCCAGAGGCAACTTTTCTCAGCAGTGAAGGGTGACTGATGGATAAATTCTTTGTGAATAACTTCGTCTTTCTTGATGTATAATTCCAACGTGTACAGAAACATTCCTGCGTTGCACCCCAATTTCTAGAAAGGCGTGAAACCAGTGATCTTATGCATGATGTCACGAACACCGGAACATTTCACGAACCATGTTATTTCACTTCAAAATTTCCGTTGCTGAGATCTGTTAATATTTTCTCACGCTTGAGCGTGGAGTTAGTTTGTTTTCAGTGGAAATAGACGTGATCAAGGAAATTTCAGGTTCAAAGCTTTGTCCAATCGTTAAACGCTGTTAATTATTGTCAGGAAACAGAAAACATAACGAAATGATGGCGCGAAGGTCAGTAACCGGTAACGTTTAGCAGATAGAGGATATTGATAAAAATTCAACAGAATACAGATCATGGCAAACGAGAAAGAAGATCTCATGATCGGGAAGTGACTCTACTGAGTATTATCGGTCGTTTATGATGAATCGCTAATTCATTGTTCAGTTCAGACCCTCTACATCCGACCACTTACAAATCACGTCTAAAAATACGCATCGAGCACATAGATGTATTTCCTAGCTTGAATTTATAACGTGAAAAACGTTTAAACTGTTAGAATGTGCTTCTGCAAAAGAGATTCCGTAAATAAGATTTTACTTCCTTGGTTGAAACTCCTTAAGTGGATAACACTTTACGGCTTCAATTCTTTGCTCTTCTCTCCTAGCATGGACCTGCTACACTTCAGATTGTTTTTGGAGTGCTGTGGCGAAAATGGCTTAGATTCCTTTCATATAAGATTGAGTCTTATGAATGTGCATGGGTGGAAAAATATGAAACTGAAACGACACAGCTTTATACATTTCTGCAGCTGTACGTACTTCTATATACCTTACTACACAAGCCATCCACATCTTCTGAAATGATTAGATTTCTTTCTTCTTTCCCAGTTAGCTGACGAGGATGATTGTTCTCCATTGTACTACGCAGTCATGAATGAGAATAGCAATCTTGTGGAGTACTTGCTGAAAATGGTAATGAGAATATGTAACTAAAAGAGAGAATTTTCTTAATAATTCCGCGTTTAAATCTTGCTCAACTTCCCTAGAAAAGGTTGTCGCATTCTCCCGAGTGAAGAATCGATACAGGTAGCTCGTTTCCAAACACATTTGGCGCATTGCGAACTGTAAAATTTTCGCTTATGATTTCATCCAGTATGATGTAGGAGCATAAGAAACGCAGGGTAGGACAAGTGATGAATATATGCTTAGCTATCTGAATGAGCGGATTATGGACTGTAATTGCTGAGCGACATTAGCTCAGCTGACGAAACAACTGCCAATGAAATAGCTTATACCATTCTTTGAAATCCTCAGTAATGCAGAGTCGGTGGTAAATGTAAAACAGAGCTTGCTGAAAGGATTCCTCTTTGACTATAGTTTGGAGATTTAATGACTGTCGGTTAGATAACCCGGCGGTTTCAAGTTTTTTTTTTAAATCACAGTCCTTGTGCAGGGTATGCAGAGAAAAAAAGAATCGTCTGAAACTGAATTTACGGTAACTATTTGTAAAAACCAGGATGGTTGCAATAGGAAAAAGGACCTCTATGCGGGGCGCCACTCCAGAGAAAAATGTTCACTTCTTGTATGAAAAGTTCCCGTTGTAATTGGTTGCTTTCTTAGAGCAAATGAAAGTACACAGTCAGAAACCGTCTCATATTCTAGCGGTCCATGTGTATTCAATGTACTGCTTGTTGCTGGTGCCCTAAATATCTTTGGTTCAAACATTTTACCTCCATTTCACAGAAATTCTCATAATCCGTAGTGCACTTTTTCCACTGACCATCCACTCCAAAAGTTGATTTCCTCTTTTGAAAATTTCAGGGTGCAGATCCCGATGGAGAAGACCCAGATGGGAAAAAATTGATGGACACTGCAAAAGACGAGAAGATAAAATCCATGTTGAAGAATGCTTAAACTTTTGGTAAGTTGATCACTAATGTGAGTGCAGCTTTATCATACACATACCAAATAGCAACCATTCAAAATAGCCACGTGTACAGTTATTTATAGACAAGAAGAGAGGATATAGCTTGATATTCAAGGGGCGAAATGTTTGTTCATAACAAACTCCTCGTTTCTTCTTCATTTTTATATTGTAATTTCTTCTTAATCTTACCCTCAGGAAACGACACAGCCGGGCTGAAGGGTTGAACATAGTGTGAAATAAAAATATCTTAGCGATGGCTGAGGAATAACATAACAATTGACCATTTTGAGCGCGCTGCGTAGTTTATTAAGGTGAATTATTACACGACTCGGGCAGTCAGAGGGCCAATAACTAAAATCAACCAATCAAAATGCTCTATTGCCGGTCAATATTCTCTCAGTATTGGACCGGGCACTGTCCCGAATGGTACCGAATGATACCGCACTTGTGTCCCTTTGAACTTCAGTCGTATAATAAATCTCTTATTAACCAAGCTTGCTCGGGACCGTACTGGAAGAATATCGGCCCTCGGTCTTTTTTGTACGGACCTCGCTGCGCTCGGTCCGTGCTGTCAAGACCTCGGGCCGATATTCTCCCAGTACGGCACTCGCGCTTGGTTAATAAGATATATTTAATACCGTTGGCGAATAGGAAAATGCTTCGGGTAAAAGCAACATAGCACAACGCGATTCGAACCTTCGTTCGGGTTGATGAATTACGAGCTAAGAAAAATGGTAGTAAAAGTAGTGCTACGGCTGCTTTCTTTGTCAACAACTTGGAGATCTAAAAGGCTCTTTACCTTTTTTGACAGTGATGTTGCATACAATGGCGCACTTAGTGGGAAGGGAAAAAAAAAAGAAAAAAGGGAAAAAAAATCATTGTTACACGGCTGGTATATTCAAGAAAACTGAGCTCTTCTAAGTCGATAAAGTTATGATTATTTCTTGAATTGAATATTCCAATTTTTTTTTGTTGTGTGCTGGCTTGTTCTTATGTTTTTGGCTCACGAATGATTTGATGTTGGCTTTGTAACCAGAAATGACTAATTAAATTTCGAGTTAGGATAGCATGGAGGGGACTGAGTCATCTACATAAAAAGCAAAAGTTTCAATCGTTCATGATGATATTACATATAAACATAAAAATAGAAATCAAGGCGTCAGGCTTTAACTGGCTTAAAATAAAACGGCGAATTTAACTTTGCTCTCTTGAGATACTTTGTACTGCTTCCTTGTTAGCGTGATCCCTCGGAAATTGGCGCAGCATGATTTGTAGCTGAGGCTAAATAAAAGAACTGATGTTGTCCTCAGCACTCACTTGATGTTCCTGAAATATGTACTTACTTGTTAGCCGCGAGTAGGCTCGGCTTACTATGAGTTAATCATGGAGAAATCGAGGTCTCTCACGCCCGATTGTTCCCGTATATTTTAATTTTGGTCTGTTACTAAATAAATCAAACGACGACGCTGTGAAGTAATTCAGTGGAGACTGGAGTGTTACTTGAGTAATTACTTGATCCGATGGTAGTTGCTTTTTCCTTAATGAATGTCCCTCTCTACATAACTTCCATGAGCAAGGGAACTTTTCAAGAAATAAAACAAAGGAAGAAATTTCGAGAGAAATTCTGATCGGGCACTTAGAAAGGGTTTTTTTCAAGGGAATCGTTCCTCACCCGGCTTAGCTTTCCTTGAAAAGTTTTCATTGCTGATGCATAGAGGGACCAATACCTCCTTGTCGCGTGAACTCGACAAGAAAAGCAGAAGGAAAAACAAAACATTGCAGGTATACATGTGGCTTTCCATCTAATCACTCCGCTTTTCTACCAATGACCAGTGTAATCAGTTGACCAAATGCTTAAGCATCTTAGTCTCCTAAATGTAAGCGTTCTTCCTCTAAGGCAGAACATAAATACTCAAAATCGAGCAAGCACAGGAGAATTCTAGTCTAAGGCTGACAACGCGTCAAAGCAGAAGCTAAAAGATGACCAACTATGACATATTTCGACGTGTTTTGAACGTCATGGGCCTCTCTTACTAACTAGGAACTTCCAATTAACACATCTTCACAGTTAGGTCACTTAACCTACACCTACAAGTTTCAGTTGTAATTAAACTCATCTTCAGCGTTCAGTAGTGGGTGCGTTCAAAAGCGCGATACAAGTGAAAACGAGCAAAACACATTTTCTTCCCTTCGCCTGACAACTTAAGACGTCCATGAAGCCTCTTATTCACTTGTGTTTATTAAGTTCTTATAGACAATTAAATAGCACAGAGCATAACGTTCTTCAATATCATCAAAAATTATCCTCCCAGATCTGCGATATATATCCTCCCAGATATCCATGATAGACTGAAATCCACTATTTTGTAAGGACAATTACCTGACTTGTCTTCTACACCAAAGTCCCATCAAACGTCGAAACGTATCATCGCACATCAAGAAGGAAAGAGCCCGCAGTGGGCATGTGCCGTTTAACGCTCTGACATCGATGCTAAATCAAATCAGTCTCAACTTGTAAGTGCTACTCTATCAATAAGCAGTTAGCCATGTCGATTTTACATCGATCAATTTCAACATATCACCATACCAATGCTCTTACAATACGACATTATCGAATAAGAGAGTCCTAATTTTTGGAATGTTCACATTTTATTGATTTTAAATGTATGAAGTTTTTAAGGTGAGCTCGAACGAAGTCGTCCGGAGATGCGCGGAATAGTAAATAATCCAACGACGCAAACAATGAACATCTGTCAATACCACAAATAAAAGTAAAGATTTAATTATATACATTTATAGATCCTCTTTTGAAACAGTGAAAAATCTACGCAGCATGTAAACTTGAGCAATACCAACCGAAACAATAATAAAAGACTGTCCTACTGACCACCACTGTACTCTTTGCTTTAAATACTCGGCAGCCATTCGGGTGTTTGCTTCTCGTAACCTGTAATAATTTTGATATCTCTCGATCAAGTTCAAATTTTCGTGAATATTTAGGAAAGACTTTTCGAAGAGAGTCAAGGCTGTTGGTGTTCCGCTAACTCCCTCGTAGCCCAATTCGTCTTCATTCCCTTTGACTAAATCGAAGTACACAAGATTTTCCCCAATAGAAAAGTCAAAAACGTTACTGAAGCAGATCGTGTACGTTCCATTCATGGTAGCGTTAAATTTATGGAGGTCATAGTCCTTCTTCTCTACTTTGTAAATAACATCACTGTCGGGTCCTTCGATGTACACGTCAATGCGAGGATCAGCACCGGTGATAGGTGCATATTCTAGCGAGCATTCCGTGTTTTCCACCAGGTCTTCGTAGAAGCATTCAAAGCCGCTAAGTTGAAATTGCAGATGGCGGCTATTCGCAGGTATCAAGTGTAAACACAGGGCCAAAATTACGATCAAAAGGCGCATCTTAGCGTCGTTGTTCACGCTTCAAAGGATAGATATTGGGCCAAATATGTTGAGTTGTGTAACCGAGCAAAGCCGAGCTTCTTACTTTGTAAAGGCTCTAAAAGTGTAGAGCGATTTCTTCCATGTCTAGGTGAAATAATATTCAAAGTAAGTTTTGTTTAAAGTAAATTTGCATTCGAAAGGACTAGGCCACGTGGCGATTTGTGAACGCACGCGCAAGTAGCACCTTATCGACCTTTAATTGGTTCAGCTTCCTCGTTACCGACATTTCTACTCTAAATATTGAACCAAATAAGAAAATTTTAAACCTCAAAGCGGGCAATGGTCACTAGTTACAGTGAACGATTTTCAACTGACTGGAAAAGACAAAAGACGTTTTCTCGAATTTAATCGATTATTAGCGGTAACGTGAAACAGAAGGCGACCCTCTGTACTCTACAAAAGAGAGTCTTAAAGGAATTAGAAAATTTAACCCTTGGGATAAAGAACTGACAAATGTAAGCGTTGGTCGTTAAAAAAAGTTATTCGTAAAAATTTTTCGTTTAATTGCAAAGGAAAGAGATTAACTGTTAGCCGTAAAATAGCCGTAAAATAGCCGTAAAATAATTGAAAAAGAAGTTTAGAAAAGTAACTCCTTTGCTCTTTTAAGTACATTCTTCTCTTCTAAAAGTATATCTTTTTCGACCACACATGTTCTGGACAATAATTGGCTGCACGTGCAATCAATGCAAGCTTATCTGACCTTTGTGCTCTTACTATTATTAGCACTTGACAATTATTTTCTGTTTACTTTGCCCTTATATGCTAGTAGTTTCATCTTTAACTATAATTTATAATTTATAAATTTGCTTAGACACAATATTACATTATTTAATGAATTTTTTATTATAATTGCTAAAATTATTATTGATATCATTAATTCTTCTTAGCCTTTACTTAATTTATTTTGAGTGTTCCACTGTACTCCCATGTCCACAATGGTAACTTTGAGCAGCAATGCCAACTGCTACAAAAATGTCGATTAAGTGATAAACATGGTATCATAGAGTCCAAAGTATTTTAAAAGAATTCCCAGATGATTTCAAATACTGAGTCAAAATAGGTACCACAGTGAAACTTTTAATCTTCGAGTATCTACAGCTAGTCTATCTGTATTGTCCTTACAATTTCTGACGAGTAACTGCATGTTGTACACCCATGAACACATACATATAATTTTACAGGGGGTCTCTGGCGGAGGCTCTCTACTTATTCTGAAAGAAAATTGTTTGTTTGTTAAAATTCTCTGTACAATGTGCACGTAATTCAGGAGGTAAATGTGACTGGAAAAAACAAACAAACAAACAAAATAAAACAGAAAGAAACACTCAAAAAATTATTCAATTAAATTGTCAAACACAGCTCGCGATTACAAGTTGTCGAATGCAAGCCGACTAGAGTAAATAGGTTCAAAAGCACTCGTCTCTGAAGACAAACTCAAAGGGCTGACTTGTGCATGCGTACTGGTGCACGTGCTGGTACATGGATGAGGACTTCCCGAAACGTATGCTGGGTACGTTTGGAGCGGTGCGTATGAACGGTGAAACTGAGCATGCGCATGAGCGTGCACGTGCAGGTCTTGAAAGTAAGCTGCGGACACCGAAGACTGTGGCGTTGGAATAATCGGGGCTTGTGGAATAAGGTAAGGGAAGTGAGATCGTAGTTCATCATAGCTGAACATCATGGACCGACCTGGTCCTTTCATTTTCATCATTCCGTCTTGATCCAGGCCCCTGAAAAACGCATAAGTGGGAGAGTTAATTTTAATATTATTCAATCCCTTTCTAACAGCACTTTTATCGTGACACTTTTACACTTTTTATTCATCAGTAGCATGGTGGTGATGTCATCCAAGCGACTTTGAAGATCACACAAAGCTACAATCTAATCAAGAATGTTCTTCGATCCTTATCTTTTATCAGGCCAAAGAGGCAAAAAATAATAAAAAACAACAGCAACAACAACAAAAACAGCAATAATTAAAACCACTAAAATTGTCACACAATAAAATTTATATATTGACAGCTAATTTTGTCTTTCAAATTCCACTGATGAATGCTCGAGATAGTAGCATTGGCATAGGTTACTCTTCTAGAAATGTAATATGGCACGGTTAGGAAAAGGACATTTTCAACGAATCTGGCTTAAATAATAAAGTCATCTCAATTTCTTTAAATATGTATAAAAGTTTGAAGGTTGCGCTTATTTTCCACGGATTGCAAAGTTTTCAACGCCAACACTCGACTCAGATTACTTCTATGTTCTATTTGAGGCCAAATCAAAAAAAAAAAAAACCCTATGCAATATTTCACGATTAATTGAACAATAAAATTAGGACTAAAAGATTTAATTTCGAAAAACCTGGAATGATTCTAGGGAAAAAAGTTAGGGGGTTTATCTTCCATCCAGTAGCATTTACGACAAGTTCCTCACTCATTTTTTTACATTCTGTTTTTCACGGTTACGTGTTGAGATCTTTGCGCTCAACAAAGCATTACCATCTTTTCATCTTTTAACAGGATTTCAAATGGATAAAGATCACTCAAAGAAGCAAAGAGGTTGACAATAGATAGTCAGGTGTCGCATATTTCGTTTGAAACGACGAACAAATAAGGACTCGGAACCATGAGTGGTACCGGTGAGGCTACAGAAATCGTCTTAACAACTACAATAAAGCAGGAGAATTTTTGAAATTTAGGTTAATTGCGGGTATCATATTTACACGTAGAAACTTAAAGGACGACTTTGGATAGTCTTGTTTCATGCATTTGGTTTAAAACGACGACATGATGTGTATACAATACCGAATGTGATACCTAAGGAGCTAGAGCGCAGAATTATTTTAGAAATTAAGATAAATTGCGGGTATTGCAGGGAAAAGAAGTGTTATTCTGCTGTATGCGTGACCAAAAACTCCAGTCTTGATATCAATAGGTATCGAATCTCGTGCCGTCTGCTGATGGTTAAAGCCATTAGCTAATATTTTAGGGTGGTTTTTCACCGCGCAGGTGCACAAATACGTGCGAGGTTTTAAAATGAAAAGTAAACAGCGCTAAAACTTCCAATCCATTTGGACCGGGTAAATGATTGAAGCATGAGAATCAAAACTGTTGACTCAGTGATGCGATTTCTGCCCGCACACAAATACCGGTCAAGTTTACGCAGCAGCCCTAGCCATCGATATGAAATCTGATCCTTTTTTTTCTGGGAAAAACATGGAATAAAATATACCTTGCCTAATATGTAATGATATATTTCAATGGGGCCTGTATTGAGCAATATATAGTTTGAAGCCTTTCATATTTCTTCAGAAAATAAAGATTTATGAAAATCATGGTAAAAATCGACTTCATATTGAAGAATGGGGTATTCATTAAGCTTTTGACATAAAATCAATCCAACAATCTGATGTTAATGTCTTCGTGTTATAAGTGTTTAGCCTTCATTTCTTTTTCGTAGTAATTATTTCGCCGTTTTTGCTCCTTTTGTCTTCGCGCAGCGTGAACAAGGAAACGCACTCTTAGAGAGATAACCAGTTCGAGGAAGACTAAACAGTCTATTCATTGAACATTCTGGACATCACTGGAATTGCCATTCAATAAAAGGCTGTATATCTTTTTACTTTATACAGATTCGATACATTGTACAATGCACCGGCTTTTCTCATGTCAGAAGTGTCTAAGAACACACGTTCTCCTTTTAGAACTCAATGATTTCATTGAAAAGAGCGTACAACTGGAGACGAAGATGCTGAATGCCCTTTTAGTGAGATACTCTGTTTTGTAATTAGCGGCTTGTGATTCAGTTCTTTGTCGGTCAATGTTCCGGAGATAATCGGAACCTATTAACATCTAATCGGCTGGAATGGGGTGTTAATAGCCGCACAAACGCTTAAGCAATGATTTCCTCATTAAACAACTTTGGAGAAATTATCATAAGACTAAGCGATACATACAACAGGAGAAAATTAATGAAAAACTGATACATGAGTATTGCAAATGTAACCATAACACAAATGCATTACAACCGAAGATGAACTTTAAAAAATCAACCTTCCCATTTCAAGTTTAAAATGAAATGTTATCTTAATTGCACGTCTATCTTAGTTTGCACTTCTCGCGCACCAATCTCATCAAAAAACGTGAGCGAGTTAAACATTTATAAACCATCCGAAAAAGCTTATTTCTTCTCTTAGTTGCTTTTAGTTAGTATCTGTGACAGAAACTAAATGATTTTCTTTTCAGGAGCTATTAATGAGCAACCAGAAACATGAGCTAGATCAAAGAGTTTACAAAAACATATTAAAACATAAAGAAACTCAGTAAAGGAAATCTTTGGTTTAGTTCACAGGCATGCAGAAGAAACACAAAAGCGAAATCGTGACCTCTCATAGATCATATCTTTTCAAATAATCATGATAGAGAAAATGAATTGGCAAAACAAGTAACGCACTCACTCACCCTTTTCTCATTTCTGCAGCGCGCACTCGTTGCCTCTTGTTCTTAAACCAGTTACTGACTTGTGTTACAGTGAGATCAGTCATCTTTGCCAGCTCGTACTTCTCACGAGGAGTGGGGTATGGATTGTCGGTGTACGCCTTGTTCAGAATGTTCCTCGACTTCTCCTTGAAGCAGTAAGTGGTCTCCTCGCCGTCCCAAATCGTCCGAGGGAGGGGGTACTTTCTTCGCACTCGATATTTCCCTACAGCTCCCAAAGGCCTACCGCGCTGCCTTTCCGCTTCGATGTAGTGTGCTGTCCTCCAAAGACACTGTAGTCGTTCATGGTTCTCTTTGGAGAACTTGTTGCTCTCGAGTATTGCGTACAATTCCTTGAAGTTGTTCTGATAGAAATAAACAACAGCTTTCGAAACAAGAATTGTCTCGGTAGTTTTTTCGTCGCTTTCTATGTCCGCGGGCAAGGACCAGAGAAATCGCGAAAGGCGGTCTATCTCTCCGTTATTCTGGAGAAATTGACAAACTGAAGCAACTTGACCTGATGAAAATGGACAAGGAAGCATATCAGCAGAGTACAGAGCTGTGCGTTTTACACTTCGGTTGTCCAACGTGTCTCCTCTAAGGATCGTCGCGAATGAACGTATACGGTGTTGCACGTTCGTATTATATAGACATCTCAACTCGTGATCAAGGAACGATTTTGTTTCGGCACAGGTTCGAGGCTTTGTTGACTTATCTAAACATTCCCGCTTTTGAAATGGTATTGTCCAAGCCATAAGTTGAACAAAACCCCTTTTAGTGGACATGTCAGACTAGCATCAAGTGTCCAGTTCCTCAATTAGTTTGTCATCAGCATGAAATAGATTCAGGCAAACTTGTTTGTTTAAGCATCTAGGATGGTCTATTTCATTTGAAGTATCTGTGGCCTGAATAAACAGTGTTTTAAGCGCTCAATTGTGGCGAGATATTGAAACCGAATTGCCGACCTTCCAAATTTTGTTCTCCAAATGTATACAAAGAGAAAGCTTCGGATAATGAAAAAAACTCTAAGTTTTTAATCAATGTATTTCCTTTTCTGCGTAGTTTGTATACTCATTCTCAATTAACTTTGCTATTGTTCCCTAGTTTTAAAGTTCGATTATTACAAAGGACGGCGTTTTCCTATCAAAAGCGAAACATTTTTTCATTCAATGTGTGTTGTTCAGTTCAGGGGTGTGAAATAAATCAAAAGAATCACTCCCGCCTTGTCTCACTGGTCAGTCTATTTGACTTGACACAGAAGTCTTCATAAGAAAAGCAGTTGACACGTTTTTCAGGGGGACTCTAAACTTCTTCCTCAAACATTCAGCATGATCTTTAGCGCCTTAAAGCATGCGGGCGGAGTTCAGGGGGTTAAGCCAGAGAGATCTTCGACACAAATTTTTCAATTACCACGGAAAGCTTACTTTCGTACAATAACAACTCTAAGCAATTTTACGCCATGTAATGAGGAAATAACCCAATTAAAAGTGACAATCATCTTTGATTTTCTTAAAACCGAACAAGTGAACCGATTCATACCGGTTAAGCAAGTCGCTAGTACGAAAAAATCTTGGGTTTTAGCGTTATTTTTGTTGAGGAGTCTCTTTTGATTTTTTCATACAGCTGTATTTGCTCAAAATTCGATGAATTAATGCTTGAAAACTGCCGTGCACAATGACAGGTCGAGGTAAAACAACGTGCCATTTGCCGTCTTCAGCGGACTGTACATCTGCTCCCTATGTCAACAAAAAAGACAATAGTTCCCAGCACTTGAAAGGGTTCCCGGAGCAACCCAACACAAACCCTTTTGATGTATAATATCAAATTATTAAAATCTTGTATTGGATAAATTTGCTCAAATCATTGTGATCACTTTTTCCAACCGATGAATAGCAAGAATATACGAATTTTACACCAGCACCATACATAGCATATTATGTGGCGTATAATACTAGTCATCTGCACGTTCTTCGCAGCGGGCAAATGTATCAAGCAAATGTATAATGAAAATGTCTCAATTTGCAAATTAGCTACCCAAGAGGTGGCGCATTGTTATGTTGTGGTGACAATAAACTGTTTTGTTAATCAGAAGTAATTATACAAAAAACATTACACAATTAGGGGACTGATCGTACTTTGTATTAAATTGCAACTTTAAGAAAAGAATTGGAATGAGGTATTCAGTATTCTTCTAGTCCCTTTTGAAAATTTTGAGCAATTGTTCAGAGAAAACGTATTAAAAGTGGGAATTAATTCCTTTTTCTTACTGAGGAAAAAAAATTCCGCCTTCTTTGAAAGTGGTAGAAGCAGGCATTCTAATTTCCTTTAGCCTGTTCTGTCAATATAAGATTAATTAATACTAGGATTGCTTTTATCTTACATGGAAGGAAAATATTCATTTCCGTCTTCTGTAATAGTGGTTGAAACAAGCATTTTACATATATTTTCTTAAGGTAAAAAAGGAATGAAAACTATGAGAACATAAACTACGAGAAGAATTACCGATTGAATATGAATTCTGCGTTGAACTAGATAAATATAATAATAAAAAAAGTTGAGCAACAGAAAGGAAAAAAACTTTCTTCATATAGAACATCAATCGGAAATTCAAAATGTCCTCTAAAATGCTTCTGCATGCTATGGCTAATATTGATGGTCATCTTATCGGGTTAGAAATCATATGATATCCTTACAGCTAATTAAAAAAATATATCTCATAGTTGTTAGCCTTGTGGCTGTTGTGATCTGGAAGCCCTGGTATCATAGAAGTCCCTTAGGTACCAAACACTGGCATGGAATTTGATTGCCTTAAAAGTGTATTACTGATTTATGACAGCACTCAAAAAAATTAAAGTTTAGATGTAAATATTACTAAAAAATGTCATGAATCGTTACGCTCTATAGTTCTTAGAGCAAACCTCTGGCATGTGGGTAAAGAGCCTCTTGCAATTATCATCACAGCAAAGATACTAAATGAAGTGGAAAAACTGCGAAAGGAAAGTATACTTCCCCAGATGTTTTCAATGAAAAACCGTTCCCTCTAGTTTAAAAGGAGAGTTTTGAGTCTAGAAAATAAATGGAACAAAACACATGCCTATACGCCTATCATTTCCTAAAATTGTGATTTACAGGAATATTAGCAAAGAATCCCATAAAATCCAAGCAAGAAACAAGAAAATGGAGGAAACAGCAACAGATCTTGAAACACAGCCTTTCTTTTCAAGATGCATACTGATTCATGTCCCCAAAAGACAAAAACCGCGTTAAAGGTAAAAAAAGCAAAACGGTAAAATCAAAATATTTGTATTAAAAAAATGATAAAAATTAATAGCGAAAAAAAAAAAAAGACCTCGAATGATCAGTTAAATGCTCTATGGAAACTATTGAAAAACTGTGAAATCATAAAAAATGTAACTTTTAACATCTACGATAAAGTAATTTAAACCTTCATACCTTCAATTTATATTTTGCATTTTGTAAAACTGGAATTGACGGAAATTATCTGGCGGTGAGTTATATAGAGCTCGCCCAGCTTTTTATTGTAGAACCTGGCCATATATATACATATGTGTATAGATGAAAAACTTCCATCTCAGCAGAACGTAATATAAGCCTTTCATTACCTTGCCTTTTTATTTCATTCCATATTACTTCACAGGGCCACCCTCTCGTTTTCAAAAACTCCTCAAAAAGTATTATCATAAAATTCTCATCTTCAGGAAGCTTCGAATAAGCACAGATTCAAATGAACTACAACATTCAGCAAAATTCACATTTCTAAAACATTAGGCATATTCTAAAAATCTATTCAACAACGCTGTGAAGAGTTTTATTTCACACAACAGACGTGGGAATACCAAATCATGAAGCTCTCTCCTTAACTTCATCTGTTATCTAGATATCACAAATGATATTTCACCTCACTGGCTATATTTTAGAATCTCATTTAATTTAATCATGATTTGCTGTAAACAGAACATCACCCTACTAGACTACAGTGTGTTCATTCATAATTCAAACGAGTCAACAGCACAACTTCATAAAAAGGAAAAAAAATAAGAGAGGATTGACTAAATTATCGTAAAGCAGAATGGTTGTTTACTAAATGAAACTTAACAAAGAGATCTCTTACTCAATTTTATATCATTTGAGCACCAGAAAGTGTAACCCACAAAGACGATAATAATGATGCATTATTCCTGAGTTTATCACTTAGGAAAACTGCAGCTCGAAAAACAGCTTATGTATATCACGTACATGAGCGAATACTTATAACAAATTCCCTCGGAATTAGGATCTTATAGCAATTATTCTTCCTTGTATGAAGCACCAATGATTCCAAGCTCAGACTTACTACAACTGTAAGATGATTTACCTGGGTAATGGCGTTACTCGCACTTCATCGACACTCTGTTAGGGCTGGTAAAAAAAAAATATCGTGCAGATGTAAGAAAATATGATATCTTAGTGATGTGTTTCCCCCATGCCTGCGAAAACTTGTATCAGAATCAAAACTAGTGATTAAAACATATAACTTACAGGCAGTTGCCTTTGTATCTACTACGCAAAAATCAATAGGGAAAGCCGTTTTGAGGGTCATTACTCAACCATCGAATGGTGAATATGATGTACTCTGTAGTGAGGGGTTTGCTTTCCAACTTTAAAAAAATGATAAAGTAAAAATAATAAATGACTTTCTTTTTTATTAACGTCCTAATCCATAGTTCTGCAAATTTCCGATACCTCTCAAATTCCCCAGTCAGTTCGACTCCTGTACATTTAGTGCGTTGCGAAGTTATGGGCTCTAAAAACTAAAAATGTTCCAAAAATTATTTAGCAGATAGAACATACTATTTTCCAACAAAGCACAACGACAAATATAAATTAAATTTTCTGAATTTTTTTTCCTCAATGCATAACAAAAAAGAGCACACGAGCTTTGAATTGTTTTAGTTCAGGTGTTTGCTATAATCTTCGTTCCTGTGTCTACTGTTTTAGTTAAAAACCAGATGTTTGTTATGCTAATCTACGGTTTGGTGCAATCCTGAAGGAAGATATATGAGCTCATAAAAATGAATTAGAAATGGATAAAAGGCACCACCGATTTTCCCTTCTCTAAGCAATATTGAATTTAAAATCCATGGGCTAAAGCTTACTGATGCCAAAATGATGATGATGCAAATATAAACAAATTGATACAGACAACAAAGAATGAATATAACCAAGATTGAAGCTCAGATCTATCAAGTCCGTCTACCACATGCCTTA